AACGGATTAGTAAGCTGAAGTGGCAATGGGCCGGCCATATAGCTCGAAGAACCGACAACCGATGGGGAAGAAAGGTTCTCGAGTGGCAGCCTCGTACCGGCAGGCGAAGTGTAGGGCGTCCCCCCACTAGATGGAGTGATGACCTGGTAAGATATGCAGGAAGTCGATGGATGCAGGTGGCTCAGGACCGTGCTTTGTGGCATTCTTTGGGGGAGGCCTATGCTCAGCAGTGGACTTGTGAAGGACTGTAATGATGATGATGATGTACACTGCTTCACAATATGTTGATTTGTCATATTGTGCAGCCCTTGGGAGATTTTGAAGGTAACTTGAGCCAGCAGACAGCTGACAGTTGGCGATGGTATTTCAAGTTGCCTAAGCAGACAGACACCATATCTTGAGAACACATCGCCACCAGAACAATTGTTACACCGTTTCCACTAATAGTTCACATGCGCAGACACTTAATACACAAAATCGCACCAGTTTTACATATCGAAATGCACTTCAAACATTATTTAAACAAAAATACAGGAGCAGCAATCCGCTGCCGGTCAAGTTCCCGCCAAAACTCCCTGGCGTAAAATGTGAGACTGTATACATAGACTAATGACAACTGTTTGTAAATGATTTTATAAAATATAATTAAGTCAATCTCTACAAAAGTTATGTTATACTTAGCAGGATTTCACGTATTTGTGTTTATTTTAAATTTAATTCCTATGAATTATTAACATAATATTTATGGCTACTCCTCTCCGAACCGCTGGTTGCCCGTGTTGCTCTATGGTTCAAGGTATATAAAGCTTTTAGTTTGTAGAGAGATTTTTAGTTCTTATCATGGAGTATAGAGTATTTTTTTTATAGGATAAGGGTGACAAACGAGCACGCAGTCCACCTGATGGTAAGTGGTTGCTGCGGCCCATAGACATCTACATCTATCCTCTATTAGAAATCAAAATGTAGATGCGTTGTCACCCGTGAGGACTAAGATGGAATGCCTCATTTCCAGTAAAAAGGGCCTCCGGCCACCTGCACTCACCAAGCGAAACGCAGCGGTAAACCGCTACTTCACGCTGGTTTTCTGTGAGGTCGTGGTACCACCCCGGTTCGAGCCGGCCCATCCGTGCGACAGCAAAAGCTGACGCGTGGCTCTACCACTGTTAAAAAGTAGAAGAGTAGAAGGAGGACCATCTTTATATAAGAATAAGTGTACGTAAAAACGCGTCCAATAAGAGTGGCTCTGCGGTAGCATAGGATACATTTAAAAAAAAAGCGCCAAAAGTAATTAGAATAAGATGGAGAAATAAACAAGGACCGGCCAATCCGCTTGGTTTTGTACTACGTAAATAGTTGAGGTTTTGTATACTGGCATTTTAGTAACTACTCTAGTTATAATTTTTTTTTAAATATTTGAATTCAGCTGACTTCACTCCATCTACAACAGCTATATTCATATCGTAGTTTTTCAGACGCCAGCGCTATTGTGGTAGCTGTTGGAAACTCTATTTTCAGCATAGAGAGAGAATGAACTATATACAAAATTGTACATACTCCTTCTACGATTTTCAGTATATACAGTTGGACACTTTTTCAACTTTCCCCCCATATGAGATGGTTCTCCTTCTACTCTATACTCCATGGTTCTTAGCATCATATTAGTCTGTGGTTCTTACCCGTAATTTAAAAGTATCTTGGCCTAAAGGTCTAGATGCCAGGCCATAAACTCCAAAAAAAAAATTAAAAGTATCTAATCAATTCTGTTTTATCGTAGAAAAAAATTGATTTAATTGAATTGTTATCAAATTCTTTCAGGAACTTCAATAGCTTGGCCAATTATAATATGAATATATATTATAACTTCAATAATTTGCCAATAAAGTTAAATACCACATTTCTTTTTGTTTTAATGTGGCTGAATGCCTTGTAGCCAGTATACGTAGAACATAGATTTAGGATAGTAAATATATTCCAAGTCTATGAATTGGAAATAAAAATGATGGAAGTAGTGATGTAAATTTGCTTAGTTTGAAATCGATTACTCGGTTGTTGTCTTTAGCTAAAAGAACAATCTATTAACGGGATCGTGATTTGTAGCATAAGAATTTATACTTGGGATGCTTTGATTTTTAATATACTATTACACAACGAACAATGTATTGCAAATAGTAGTCGCGTCGTGTACCACATTATGCTAGATACTTCTATCGCGAATTATGTATTAGATTATGGAGCTTTTCAGCAGATTTAACATTTTTTTTAAAGATTAGAAATTTTTTAAAAACACAAGCTACAAGTAGCGGTACAATTTGTGTTCGAAAATACACTAAATCGAAATTCCACAAACCCGTTACAATATTATTATAACTAATATAATATAATATATACGCTGTTGCAGAAATTATTAAATAATATTGGTTAGAACCTATTCTGATAACATATGTATAAGTTTTTCTTTAATCCGTTATTAGGTCCTTACCGTTACCGTTACAGACTATTGAAGTCCACTGCTGAACATAGGCCTCCCCCATAGATTGAATCACAGGGAGATATTTGCCATAGTTGCCACGCTTGGCAAGCGGGTTGGTAACCGCAGTTTTTATTTTTAGTTGCTTTTAGGAACACGCTGCTGCCCCATCTGATTTTTCCCCTCTGTCGCCTTTTACGACACCCATGGGATGATATGGGGTAGTGGTAGTGGATATTCTTACACCGCCACTCCATGTTATTAGGTCCTTATTTTTTATCCTTATTACTTTATAACAATTAAGAAATCTATAAAATAAGAAGAAGGAAATAAAAATAATTACTAACTACAGTGGTTTGGAGCTTAACCTATAATGATAATACAATGATATTTTTTATTTACATTCTGACTGCTTGGATTCTCTACACCACTTTTAAAATTAATGGCAAATCATCTTAGAGACCGAAAGCAATTAGTTAAGCTAAGAGGTTATATATCTCAAGAATATTACACACGCTCGGGTGTGAGTCAAGGTTTAAAGATCTTCCCAGTATATCTCAACGGCAAAAGTTTAATGTTCGCTGATGATTTAAAACTTTTCCATGCAGTGACCGGAGCTGAAGGTTGTATGACATTACAGCGCAACATTGACGCAGTGGTTGAATGAAGTGTAAAAAACAAATTGCCCCTTAATAATTCAAAGTGTAAAACACTAACTTTTTCTCGGTCACGCAATCCAATCACAACGACATACCAGCTAACAGGTACTCCATTGGGATGTGTCTATCATGGATAGTCATTTAAGTTTCCATGAACATATTATTAATACGTGTAATTAGAACTTCGTAACAGTTTAAAAATCCTGTACAACCGTATGATAAAACTCCTGTACAACGCCTACGTGCGAAGTAAGTTAGAGTATAATGCCTTAGTATGGAACCCCCGAGAAACCACGTGTATAATGATGGTGGAAAAAATCTAAAGTAAATTCGCCAGATATTTGTACAAACGCGAGTAAGGGTACTACACATTTCTATATCCGTCAACATTTGTATCGGGCATGGTTGGTCTGAATACCTTACAGTGTAGGCGGGAACTTATGCATATAATACATTATTATTTTTTGTTAACTAACAAAGTAGATAACACGTGAGACCATACATCTTTATGTACCGGATTAATATATGTGAAGCGCTGGTAGACGAAAGCGTAGACTCCTCTCCTGTCCGCATACGTGGCGCTTCCCACACGCGAATAACAGTCCCACTTCCAGAGTTGTTAGACTAATAAACTATTTCCTCAGGGCCAATCGAGAAGCAGATATATTTTTGACAACCCTAGCGTAATGTATAAAAAATTGTTAATTTTTTTTTTTAAATTACTTCGTAAGATAGAAGAATAGTATAAGTTTAGGTTATTAAGTTTGGTTTATGATGAAGTAAAAAGATCTCATTATATATTGTTGTGTCTGTAATTTATATTGTGTGTGTTAATATTTAATGTGTTTCATTATATTTTGTAAGTTTAGTATAGATATAAGCGATTTGTTTATAGTATATATAAGTAGTAAGCTTATATTTTATCAATAAATGTATGAAATAGTGAGAACGGGGTTCTGGCGATTGACTGATGATGAAAATTCGCCCTAAATCACTGAAACAAATTTTACTGAGTGTTGATGGCGTTATCATTATCAATGAACGGGTATCAGCTCTATACTCGTTACCTTACATGTTTAATGTGGTGAGTATGAGCAAATCTTCTGAATAATATATGTCAGCACAGGCAGGATAAAAAGTCTAGGGGGGAGGAGTGGTCCTCTCCCGAGGAGGGGCCGCCATGGGGCTGCGCAGGTGGGGCTGCGGAAGTGTGCGAAAGCGTTCCCGTGGCCCTGCCAATATGCGACGAGGGTGGAACACCATGGGGTTTTAGTCGGTGCGAGTCCGACATAACCCGTCCTTGCCCCCGCGAGGCGGGTATGCGTAGGCATTTCCCATGTAAAAAAAAAAGGTATAAAAAGTCTTTTGAATTTGGTGATGATAATGATAAAAGAAATAGAGTATAATAACGCTATCGAATTTTAAGTGTACAGATTAATAATAAAAAATCATAAATATGCCATCGAAAACGAGTGTTAAAGCTTCTAAAATGTCTGGCAACATCTCGAAGCCTGATAAAAAAAGAAGATGAAGGAGAGTTACATTCTCTACATCTACAAGGTTCTAAAGCAAGGCAGGTTTATAAAACGAACATAGTCTTCCTGCATTTTTAACGAAGTATTAATGAATAAAGAAAAATGTGTACAGTTATTTTTTACGTAATTTAAGTATTCATCCGATTGTGTTCGGTAATATAAATAATCGAATATGATCGTTAATCGATTTATCGCATCAGTTTGGTGTGGTAGTGAAATGAAAATGACAATTGGCAACACCTGTTTATGACTTTTTGACGTTTCATATCACGAAAGTCGAGCGATTGCTCATAGTGCAAGATACATAGCAATTTTATTGCGTTTTATAACTGCACCAACATGACTTCTGTCGCACGGGCTGGACACTTGGCCCCATATTTCAAGGCTACTTCTCAGGTAGTCGCAAACGGCTTGAAACCCGTTATTGCAGTACCCACTCCAGTTGACAAGTTGGTCGCGCAACCCTTACCTAAGACTTCAACTGTGCAATCTTTACATGGAGCCCTTCCAATTCAGGGTTTGAAAGTTAAGCATAGTACTTGTGGTGAGTAGATCTCTTTAATGTAATACTATTATTACACGGATTATCGATAATTATGATGAAAATTCTTATTACATAACACATGTCAATTTCAGTGCCAAGTCAAGTGCGTTTCGCTCATTCGGATATCGCGTATCCCGACTTCTCAGCTTATCGTCGTAAGGATACGCTGGACCCGAAATCAAAGGCCAAGGAAAATGTCGATACCCGCAACTCATTCACCTATCTTATTGCTGGAGGTTAGTTTTGTTTTACACTTCTTTATAAGTATGCATGATATAGTCTTACTAATTCCAATTATTACTATAATTACTAATTACATAAATTTGCTATTATGTACTTTACAAAATAGCAAATTTTAATGCTTAATCAGGGAGAAAATGATAAAAATAACTACAAAATTTAAAAAAACCTTGTGCTACTTTCATTAACAAATCTCCAATTTTGTTAAGAACTATGTCAATTAAAACAATTTTTGTAAGCAGAAATGATTCCTAATTCACAATTTAATGTTTCTTTTGTTGTGCTGGTAACAGTGGCAACACTCCAACTAATTCTTCTATATAGTTTTTGGGCTTATCAGCATATTTAAACGTTTTCACATTCCTCCAAAGCAGGATATAGTATAACTTTATTAATAGATGCAACTGCAAAATCACAGTGGAAGTTAGGTATAGTGGCAGAAAAGTTGTGAGAGGTAATTTTATTAAATAAACAATATTTTAATGTGTACAATCAGTACTGTAGATGACAACTGATTTTCCATACTTTAGTAAGGAATGGCATGTACTGTACTGTATACTAGAGGTAAAATTAAGGCTTTTAAACTGGCGTGACAAAATGTCCAAAAATGTAACTAAATAAATTATGTCATCATATTAGTCATGGGCGTTTTTGGATTTGAACGCAATCCGATATTTATCCGATTTCAGATTTTAAAATCGATTTCAAAATCCGTTTTTAAATATCCGATTTCAGAATCGCCAATTCGTTTACGTATTTAGATTTCGTTTTATAAGTTAACGAAACGACAAACGCAAATGTATACAGAAACAGATTAGCTCGATTATCCTTCATGCTTTAATCTAGGCTTAGGACTAGCAGAAAAGTTTTGTATGAAATTAAAACCTTTCCGGCGCATTTAAAAATCGGCATATTTACAATGATTTCTTAATATATTTTTTTTTTATAATTTTTTATTTTAGAATCTATTTGGATCAAGGTTTGCGTTTAAAAACGCAATTTGCTCCAATTTTGAAGACTTCAGACGACACCTCTTGTCATTTATAATAAGTCCCATCTTGGAAAAAAGTCGTTCGCACGGAACGGAAGTCGCAACAATATTACATTTTGTGCGATATATTTCCGACAAGTGCGGATAAATTATTTTATGGTCTCGCCACCACTGCGAGGGGCTATTCCAATTACCGTCACTATTTTTTCTTGCTAGCATCTCGTCATCAATATACATTTGTAATTCACGAATTGCTCTTGCTTCTGCGCTTCCTTGTGGCTTATTTTTTTTTAACAAGTCGTCAAATTTGTCCCAGGCACTGAGATTTTGGCGGGGCTTTTCCTGAACTTCATCAGTGATTGCTTCAGAATTTGTATTTTTATTTATAATTTTTATAAGGCCTATTATTAAGCCATGGACATATCTTTTTAATTCGGTGGCCGCACTTTCGTTCTTAAAACATACAAGTTTAAATCGTGGGTCCAACAATGTACACACTCCGAAGGTCTTGCTGTGTTCTATTGCCTGAAATCTATCTCTCAATCCGTGTTTTAAACTCCGTATTACGTCAATCACAACTGGATTAAAAGATGCGAAATATTCTTCTTTATTGAGAAAATCTTCACAAATATCCTTCAAGCAGTTGGTCATGACTATGACCATACTTCCTGTGAGGTACTGATCTCCACTTACTGAAGAAGTGACCTCTTCAAATGGCTGGAGTACTTTGCATACGTCTTCCATTATGTCCCAATCCTCTGAACGTATAATGGGCCATTCTCTTTCTATAAGAGCCATGCAGTGTTTAACGGCTTCCTTTAATAATGTGAAACGGCGAAACATAAAAAATGTAGAGTTCCACCTTGTAGGTACTTGTTGGATTAACCGTTTTGGTTCTCCACAATTAATCATATTTTTTAATTGGTATCTAAGAAGCATATCCGTTGCATTTGTACTGCGTTTAAAATGTGCCACTATTTTTTTTACATTTTCAATTAATTCTTCTAATGGTCTCAGAGCCCCCGACACGATTAAATTAAGGGAATGAGCATAGCAGCCATAATGCTTCCACCCTAGCTCTGTCTCTATTGCTTTGACAATATTTCGAGCATTGTCTGAAATAGCGAAATTGACTTTGTGTGTTAAATTCCATTCGTCCGTTACTCTCTTTAATTCCTTTGCTAAATTGGCACTCGTGTGAGTTTCGTTAAGACCTTTACATTCTAAAAGTATTTGTTGTGGTTCAAAGTTTTTGTCTATGTAATGCACTGTTACGCCAATATAGCTTTCAGTCTGGGACGATGTCCAACAATCAGTCGTCAAACAAACACTGCTAGCGTCTAGAGAAACTCTGGTCTTTACTTCATTTAAAGTGGTCTGGTACAATGCCGGGATCATAGCCGAAGATATATTTTTCCTACTAGGCAACGTGTATCCCGGGATATTTTTCACAAATTTTTTAAAGCCTTTGTCTTCAACAATTCGGAAAGGTTGAAAGTCTGCTATAAATAATTCTAACAAATCACGATCAACTCGTTTACTTTCTTCTGGGGACATTTTTTTAATAATATAATTTTGCATAGTTCTTTGCCGTTTTCGATTGAGAATCTGCTCTGGAATCTGGGAAGCTGTCTCTTTGTCAGCGACCGCGGCAGCTTGAATTGAGCCACCCGTATCTCTAGATGTACTCGCCAAACACTCGATAGTCCCAATTTGCTGTTTATTTCCTAAATCGGTACTCACCTTTTGCGCCAAATAAATTGAAGCGTGAGATCGTTTTAAATGAGCTCCTAGGTTACCCGATGTAGATTTATAAGATATATTTTGATTGCAATATTTACACACAGCAACTCCAGAAGCATTTTCTTTTTTGTCAAAATGAGTCCATATCTCACTTGGTTTTCGCAACATTTTGAAAATCAAACCAGTTCTCGTCTAATCAATTAAAAGTCTAAATAAAAAACTTAATAGTTAAAATAAAAAATATTTAAATGTTATATAAACTTACTCACTTATATAATATAATACACTTACACAATTCACTTAGTTAACTAATTTTTATTTTCTTTACACTAAACACTAAACTCTAAACTAATAATTAAAAATTATAAATTCTACTAAAATAATTTACTGATACGACTGACCGCCACGCATGGACTTTGCACCAAGGACAAATCTGCATCTAAACGAAAACAACATGAAAACAAAAAAATATTTCTAGTAAAGAAACACAACCAAAAACAAAAATAAATCATCACACAATGTTGCAAATATAGTCTTTAACAACTGTGTAACTAGAACGATATTGATCGCATATTTCAAAGATTCTAGTAAGCAAAGCCCAACACGGAACCAAAATTCATTTACGCATAATATCGCAAAGCAAATATAGACTTTAAGTACTAATAACAGTAAGGATAATATTGATCTCATATTTCAATGTGCAATAGATTTCATTAACGGACAAACCAAAATCCAAATCTCAAAATTCGCGCCATCCTTTTCATTCCGCTATGTCATGTTTGGTTAGAACGAGAGAAACTGAGAAAACGGATTTCTACGCATCAGTTTGCGTTTGGATTTGGATATTGTCGATTTTGGATTTTGATTTCATTGTCGATTTGGATTCGTTTGGTGGTACAGATCGTTAGCTTAATTAGGTCGATTTTTGAAATCGGATTTTACAGTTTGGGAAATCGATACGAATGGATTTGTGTTTGAAATCGGATTTTAGATTCGTTTTGATATATCTGACGCATGCCTACATCATATTTATGTTTCTTTCTATATATATATATAGTATGTCTGTGGGTGTTGCATTTCCATAATAACATATCAGTTAAGTAGTGTTTTGCTGTGGTGCGCTTGTGTTACTTCACATTTTTGCATACAAAAAAATGTTTGATTTCAAAGTATTTTTTAACAACACTCTCGTTTATTGTTATAAACCCTATTGAACATCAAAATAATGTATTCAAAAACTAATTGTGCTATATTGGATTCAAAACTTATTTATTTTGCATAAGAAATCTAAAGATTCTTATGGAATGTTCAGACACTCGCAGAGCATAGACATATCGACACCTCCATGCAAAAATCGTAACTCATTTTTTGCAATAAATCATGTTACAATGATATTGCTATGTAAAAAAAAATACAATTTTTCTGTACAATCATTGTATCTCTGCTCCCATTAGTTTTTAAATATACAGATGTCAATGTATTGTAACATAATAAAAAAGTATTTTTTTTTCAACAATATCGTTGCAACTTGATTTACAATTTATAGAAAATATTATGAGTAGCATGTCAATCAAATACAATAACATTGTAACATTATATACAATCTTTGTACATGACAAAATTGAAGAAATCACATTTTGTAAATTCCTATAGTGGAGTCACATTATGTAAGAAAAAGAACATTATTGTACAGGCTTTATATTGATTGGAAGAAAGAAAATTGTCCGTTGAACAAGTGGCAAATTCTAAGCAATATAAGGACATTTTTATAACAAATATAATATTGAATTCTATAAGCCCAAGAAAGACTTTTGTATTCTTTGCGACAGATATAAGAGAGGATCTGAAAAAGAAAAAGATGATATGAAGCTAGAGTACACCTTGCATATTGTGAACAAAACAGTGGTAAGAGAGGTGAAAGAGATTTATAAATTTCAGTCAACAATCTGACGTTATAGTTACAGCTGCTTACGACTTACAGAAAGTATTGACTACACCTCAATCAGAAGTTTCGCTCTTTTACTACAAAAGGAAGTTTGCTGTATACAGTTTTACTATATATAATATAGGAAAGGCCAAGGGTTTTGGACGTCTGGAATGAGACAATATGCAAAAAAGGATCCTCAGAAATTAGTAGCACTGTGTTTCTTTTTATTAAACGGAAATACGAAGAAGGGTTTCGTATATTTAATTTTTTTTCTGATTGCTGTGGCAAACAAAACCGCAATCGCATAAGAATATCTAGCTATTCCTATGCATGTA